TATAAAAATGATGTGCACACAAGGCACTTTAAATACCTTTTGTGCTGAACTAAAGTTCAAGATCTCCTTATTCTGAATTTTATCCAACATTTTCTAAAGAGACATTTTAAAAATCCTTGTCTAGACAACATACCAAGCTGCAGGGATGTGGGAAGCTCTGGCTTGTCTGCCTGCCTGTTTGTTGTGCTGACTGATATGCTGTTTGCTTTTGTGCTGAGAACAGTTTTGCTGCTTTGTTCACTCCCCCCTCCGGTGATCTGCAGGCAGTTGTCACTGTGCATGATGTGGCTTTTGTAGGGACCCTCAAATACTGTGTAAAGATGAAGGTATTCCCGGAGTCTGTCTGTCCCCAGTTATGATATCCTTTCACTTCTGTGTGTGAAGGCTACCTCCAAGACAAATCAAGGACTGTAGACCTGACTGTAAACCCAAGGCATGAATTTACAAGTGTGTGATTCAAGGGGCCTTTTGAAGATGTTTTCATAATACATGTTGCTGACTAGTTTTCTCTATTTAGTGCATGTTTGGAAGGTAGGAGGATGTCTTTACAGTCACACAATAACTAATACATCAGATGTAGCTCTTGGTGACCAGAATTGTATACAAGCCACTATATTATCCAATTCATATAGGAGGTGTCATACACCTTGACAATTATGACATAATGAAATAGGAGTATACTGGTGTGTCTTCAACTTTTTTTTTCTTCCCTAGAATGGTAATACTCGTCATTATCTGAATCTCAAATGATACAGCTATTCCTTGATCAGTAGATTTCTATTCTTTGCTTTAATGCCATGATTGTCACAGAAATGATGTTCTTTATTATTGTGGCTATTCATGGTGGCGATAGTCACAAAGAAAATGCTAAAACAGTTGAAAGCAAAGAGTCATCCAATTATGTATTTATTTGGCTTCTCTTCCCGATAGCATGGCAGACTTGCTCAGTGCTTGGTGGTCCTGATGAACTTTCAGACATGTTTTTCATGCTGGTGGTCGTTATTCAAAGCTGCAGACAATCTTGGATATCTGTTTTAGTTCTTATGGCAACCCTTGTTAAGACATCACACTTTGCTCTAAATATCTGAAATACGTGTCCTGGAGTTGAGAGAAATGTAATATCTTGCTATTTCTTTATAAATTCCTTATTTTATTTGATAAGGATAGACTCATTTGGCAAGTGAAACCATTCACTCTTCTAAAAGGAGAATGAAGAATACCTTACAATCCAGATTGGGCTGAATCTAGTCCCAGCACACAGACATGGTCTTCTGCAAAACTGATGAAAATTTTACTTCTGCTGGAGAATTTGCAGTCTTTCAAGTACAAGGTCAGCACAGGGCAAAAATAGGGAGGAATCATTTTCAGATGCTTTATAGCTCCACTATTACACATAGATAAAGCCTGAAAGTGAAATAGAAAGGTATATGCTCACAAGAAACATGGCTCTTGATAATAAAGTTAACATTTAATATTATTTTTATTTTATAATTCACAATTTTATAGTTTATATTATTTAATGCCAATTATCAGTAACAAGCAAATTGCTAGTTCTCACATCCTCTGTAATGAGAAAGCCTCTGTCTTTCTGATATTTCATGAGCGCTTTCAGAATCTGATTATGACAAGGGGAGCTCTGCTAACAGAAGAGAATAACCCAGTTTGGAAGAGACTCACAAGGTTAGTTGATGCCAACTCCTGGCTCCATGCAGGACTACTTCAAAATTAAACTGGATGTTGTTCAGTGTGGTGGTCACTTTTCTTGCTCTCACTGTACAAGAAGACCAAGACTTTTGGAGAATAATGGCAGCAGCTCTTCAGCCTTCAAGAGTTTTTGGGCAGACAGTTTTTTTCTGCAGGCATGTTTCCATCCATCAGTCCTACATACACACCATACACTACGTGTGTGTGTGTAGCCTGTCCCAAAACTACACCCTCTCTGTCATCACATGTCCCCACCAAAGTCTGACACAGCCTGCCTGTGTACATCTTGTCTTCACTAAGTTTCTTGTGTCCCTGTTGAACAGCAAAGCATCATAGTCAAAGTCAGGTCAGAAGCGGGTGGAAAGGCAGCTGAAAAGCTCCATGATTTTTTTTTTAGGAAAGGCTAAGGCGGTTCTCTTTCTCAAAGAGGGGAATTTTATGGGAGAGTTAGAAGGTGCTGGTCCATCTTTGCCTCATTCCCACGTCTGTGAGAAAGCTGCTGAGACATGATAGCCCATATTGCCCTCTGAACCAATTCCAGGGGTCCTCTTCCTTTGTTTTGCAGGTAGGAGATGGCAGCAGGGATTATAGAGTTATTGTTTGCTTCCACCATGGAAGGTGACCCTCTGCACTCTAGACCTCAGATTTCTTAGGAAATCCATTACCTCCAGAAGACTGTGGACTGCAGCAGCATCTTGACTAAGGCTTCGTGTAACTATCACTCAAGAATTTATTTGCCTAGCTCTTGAAAAGTATTTCTCATAGGAAGCAGATGTCACTTGTACTTTAATGGCCTGCGCTGGCTTCCAATTCAGGTTTGATTTTACTGGCAAGTGTTGCTTCAGACCTGGAATATTCTGGCTGTCTGGGAGATGCTACACTCAACAAGGAAATGTGAGCTAAAAGCTGTGGATGCAGCTGGGAGGTGAAGGAAGCAAGGTGTTAACTGTGCAATTCTTATCCTGGTTTATGTTTTCTGGAGCCAATCTTTTTGCTCTCAGGATTTATTTTTTCCCTTGCATTTTTAACTTATGTTATACTGTGTTTTCTGTACCATTCTATTTCATGCCATATAAGGAACTGGCAATGTTAGGTAATCCTGCTTTGTGAACTAGCACTCTGAATTTTTTACTCTGTGAATATTGATTACTAAAGCTAAATACTTTTAAGGGCAAGTAGAGTTATTCTTACTTACTTGGTCCTTTTTGAATATATACCCTGTGATGGTTTTTAAACTTAGAAGAGCATACAGAGGCAGCAATGAACTAGAAAGTTGTTTTACTGTTAAAATTCTAGCAGCATTATAATTGGAATGAGTGTAACAGTGGAGTAAGAAGAGAGATGAAACTGGACTGAGACAAAAATTCAGTGCAGAGGAGGCACTGGTTCAGTTATCACTGCTGACATAAAAGGGAGAATAGACAGAAATGAAGAAATAGTTCATATTTTTTACTCACTCCTGGGCTTTTCATATATATATTTTTAACAAGTTTATGCTACAAACTGCAAGGCAATGCCTCAGTATTTTGTAAGGCTGAGCTTTGATTCCATCTGTCAGAGAAGCAAGACTATCGAACATTTCTGTAGAGGCATGGGATATGTGACTATTAAACACAGAAGCAGAGTTGCAAGAGAAGATCTGCGATCACCATGTTCTGCTTTATCTTCTGTGGCTGTATTCCTGATACTGTATTCCTGATTCCAGGCTGACTGCGGCCTCTTTGCTCTCCTTTGCAATTCACTGAGTTATCACCAGAGTCTGAACTTTGTCTTCTCTTAGCCTTTTTCCCCGAGCAGAATGACAGGAGAGACCTTCTTTGATATTTATTCTCTCATCCTGCACCTGTGTCTCTTCTCACAGAGCTATTCCCAGAGCATCGTAACTTCAGTGAAGAATTCATTTCATTTTGTCAAGTTTCTGGTCTGACCCTTAATTTAGAGCAGTCATTTCAGTCTACAATAACCTCTGTGTTTCTGCACGCAGCAGTGAATGAATTATGAGCAGCCCTTAGCCACGTGCATTCAGGATGCTTTGGTAGCCCCACGGGACAGGTAGACTCCAGTGCCTGAAAACTTATTATAGAATTGGGGTACAGTCAGCATGTTGTTTTCTGTGCAATAGTGCATATGTGGATTTACCCGTATCTAAAAGCTTTTACGTGATTCACTGAGGCCATTAGGAGTGGAATGGCATATCATTTCAGTCACAGAGCTCTTCAAAATGAACAGGTTTTTCCATCTTTCCCTAGGGAGCTTCGAGATGCATCCAGCATGCGCGAGGGAGGAGACGGTTCGTAAGCTTTCCATCTCTCAGCATCCAGGAACACAAAGGTTATTGTTAGGATAAGTGCAGCTCTGAGTGATAAATGAGGCAGGGTAGCTAGATGAAAAAGACTTGCTGAGGCAAACGTGGGCTGATTTTTGAAGTGTAATAACCTGGACATCTCTTATGAGCATTTGAAGCACATTTTGATAGAGAGTCCTGAGTTGAATGCAGTATTCTCCAAGCATGGTGAAATATTTTCGGAACGCAGCACAGTGACAACAAAGATCTCTTCTAACTGCAGTTAATCTTATAGAAATATTCTGTGCTTTTGTCTTTGCTGTTCTTGTCTCTCTTTTCCCTGATATTTATTGGCTCGTGAAGATATATCTAGTACAGGTTGTTTATTTAATTTTTTGCCACATTCACTCTGAAAATTTCATGTGCTCTCTTGATTTTTTCAGTCCTCCGAAGAAAACAGACCTTTTGGTTTTGCACGGTTGGACTGAGTGGCTAGCAAAAACGTGCTTTCTTAAATTATTTTGGCTTATTTGGCTTCTGAGATCAGGGACACAGTGGAAGAACACCTGCTCTCATCTAGCTTTAGTACTTAATCCCCATTCCAGACAAGCCTCTAAGGGTGTGGCACAGGAGGGGAGAAATAAAAATTGTTCAATGACTTTGTTGAGCATCCGGAAACGTTCATGGGTGGTGATTTTATTCTTTGTTTGTTTGTTTGTTTGTTTTCGTATCTAAACCAAGAAATAGATAGAAAGACACTATTTTTTCAACTGCTACATTCATTTCTTGAGAGAATGAAAAAATGCAAGGTCGCTGCAAGTGATGCAGGAAGTGCTAAAGGACAGTTGTACACATTCCACGTGTGTGTGATGCAAGAAGAAATTTCTTCTGGCAAAAACTGCTTTGGCTAAAGCTTTTAACAGTCTGTGCTAACAGTCTGTGTCTGGGTGTGTCTACTTGACGTGTCATCCTGACATTTTGCTTTTTCCTAAATGAGCCTATTTTCCTTCAGGGTGGCAGGACCCAGTGCATCCAAGAAGTCTGCCCCATTCTCTCCTGTCCCCAGCACCTCAGTCACACTCCCGCAGGACAGTGTTGCCCCAAATGCTTAGGTGAGTGTTTACATTCCTGGCAATTTTGTAATTTATGTAATTTGTAATATGGTGTGTTGGTAATACTGGTAAATCTTAATACTTGTAAATTCTGAAAGGTGGAAGAGACCGAGTTGCTCTAATATACAGGCTTCAATATGTACTCAGGGTCTGCGTGTGCACTTGTGATGGATGGCACTCAGCAAGCAGCTGCAGGAGAGCATTTGAGAATATGCCAGTTGGCTTGCGTAGAGAGACAGATATAGAGATGTTTCCCACCTTCATTACACATGTTCTGTGAAGGAGGTTGAGGCGAAAGGAAATGTTTCATTGGAATGTACCACAAAAGGAAAGGCCTCTCCCTCTCAGATTTTTGGTTAAGTGTGCATTTGCATTCTTGGCTTTGCAGAAATGCAGGTCAAAGAAAACTTCTGGGCTGAAATTGCATTCTTAGAAGTTGTTGTCAGAGAGGCCAGAACCCAGGAATTTGCCTTATTGTTGCCTTCTTAAGGTGGAATCACAGTTTCAGCCAGGAATATTTTCCCAACACATTTCACAGGGGTTAGTCAGAAACCTCTGAGAAGGTTTAGTTCTTCTAAGCCATGCCAAGAAGTGCAGCGAGTTTTGAGAGCCCTTATTTGCTTGTGCCATTTCATCTGATTAGCAGGCTAACGTTCCTCAGCATGTGACTCTATTTCATAAGCAAGGTTCACCATAAACAGAGATCTGACCACGTAAATTAGGTTTAATTTGGTCTACGAGGTTATGAGTAAGTTTTTGCAGATTTTCAGGACTGCAAGCCACCAGTTCTTCAACAGAAACTCCTTGACATTTTGTCCAAATACTTACTACTGTCCCTGGCCTGTTTCTAGGGTTGGAATAAGAGTACAGAGAGCACTGGCCTTGAAGGCAGTGAGCTATAGAAAGTTCCTGTTTCTCAGAATAATTAACATTTTTGACTATTTGAAATAAGCCTGACTTTGCTTATTTATTTACTAGTTGAGGAATGCTATAAATAAATACCTGCCCAGAACATTTAACCGCAGCACCAGAGAGAAATAGAATAAGGAATGACGAAGGGAGAAGGACAGTTCAGATAGTGAGCTTCTGAGCTGCTTTTTTGGCCGAGGACGTTTTTCCTTCTGCAAACTCCCCTTGTCCACTCCACTTCATGTTTTTCCAAACAGAACCTTCCCTTCTTTGATCTGAGTGTTCAAAAGCCAGCTTTGATATTGACTGTTTCATAGGGATTTTTGCACAGATTCTTCTTTTCTTTTTTCAACTTAGAAATGTCTGTAAGTGAGTTTGCCAGTAACAATGATTTCCATTTTGTGCAGTCATCACATTAAGGTATGTCGGATACCTGTGAATAGGTAATGTCTACTCACAAAGAAAAGTTGAACGTTCTGGAGCCAAGGTGGAGCCAAGAGATGCATAACAAAGGGCACAGCAGTAGGAAAAAGTAATGTTTTCAGGGATGCCAAGGCATGGTTTTTAAAATATCATGTGCAAGACCTCCCTGCAATTGGATTTCTGATACTCAGCGTAAATATGTTAGAAGAATGCAGTTGACTCCACTGAGACTTGAATTATTAGTTTAACTAGTGGTTATGAGCCAGCAAAGCTGACCGACCATTAAGCCAATATCTCCATCACCACATCTTTTTAAAGGATAAGTCCTTTGTCGTTGTTTTTTTACCAACTATTTGAACTGGGTTGGCCACCCAGAATTGTGTTGGGTGGTTTGCAAGGCATGGCAAGACAGCGTGAGAGAGAGCTTGACTTCTGCTCACTTGCTGATGTAAGTTATGAGATGGAAGTCCTGGCCCCACATATTGATTCAGATGTGTTGTTACAGATGGGGGTATGTCTTGGCTTTGCCTGTAAGTGGTGCATGGATGTGGAACAGTTCCTTTTAGGGCTACTGAGCATCCTCAACTGATTTCATATGTTAGTTGTGCAAGAGAAATTAAGCCTTTGCTAAAGTATGCATATTCAGTAAAAGGGAAGTTGGTTGTGCAAGCACGGATTAGTCCAAGGTACCTAGCTTACAAGACAGATACATTGAAATTGCATCTAACTGAACAACAGCAATTATTTCTTAGCTTTTTAAAAAATAGTTATTTGCATATAAATATTTGTGAAAGCTTAAGGCTAATCCAATGGATTCTGCTGTGTGCTTACCCTTCTGTTCACTTATTTCTTGGAGGAAACTGGAAGCTTTTTCTTTTAAGCTGCTCTGCTTTTATCAAGACTTATTGGAAAAGGAAGGGATTACAAATTAGAACACAGGGACAAACTTCAGCTACCCCAGCTGCCAAGATTTGGCAGTTTGGGAGCTAAAGTGTTGGGCTAGTACTTAGTGACTTATATTTACTTATAGTGCCCACTTATAACCTTGGAACTGATGCCTGTTTAACATCAGACCTCAGAAATGATAAGCTGGGAGACTGGCAGCCACTTCTAAGAGAACTTATTAGTTAGCTGCCACCAAAAGTAAACAGGAAAAGATATTCTAAACCAGAAAGATAAGTATAGTGATTTCAGAGTTTTTGTAAAGACCCCATGCTTATCTATCAGAATGGGCACGTGTTCCAAGTTTGATCTCGAAGTGCTTGTAGATTTGCAGGACTTCAGGAAGCATTTGGTATTGATGCTGCCTTCCCTGTATAGTGCTCTAAGCAGTGCCTTGCTTTCATGCAACCTATCTTTTTTTTAATGCCTTCTGGAAAGTATTTTTTGTTGTTTCATTTTTCTTGTAAACTATGCAGATGCCTGTATTTCTTGCAACAGTGTCTAAACACGGTACACCAGGCTATTTTAATAAGACTGGGCAACACATATGATTTTTCTGCATCAGTGTCACTGGATTGGTTTAGTTTGGCTGCTGTGAACCCCTGAGGCAGATATGCTAAAACCAGTTTAGGCTGCTTTATTTGATAAGTTATTACACCGAGTTAAAGACTGTTTAAACTAGTTTAAATGTACAAACCCTAAGAGTTTGAGTGCTTACTTTTTATTCATGTAGCTGCACTGCGCACTTTATGATGAAGAAAGACTTTTCCAATATAAACATGTCATAAATCATTAATATTCCCTCCCACAGTAAAATTGTATAGATGAGTGTGTGCTAGAAGAACAGAGAATTGTTAAAAGTACATATTTTCACACACCAAAATGGAAACACACAGCAAATGACATATTGCAGATGAATTTGGTCTAGTGACAATAAGCCCTGCTATTTTTGTTGTCAGTGTGGCATCTCTTCAACCACATTCTGTTTTTATTATTGTTTGTTTATATTCAGGACAGAGGAAAGTGTTTGACCTCCCATTTGGAAGCTGTCTCTTTCATAGCAATGTGTACGATAATGGATCCTCATTTATTTATGACAACTGTACGATGTGTACATGCAAGGTAAGCCCACAGTGCTTTGGTATTGCATGCTGGTTGTCTGACTTGGCAGTAGCTTGTAAGGCTGTGGAGCTGTTAGCCCTGCTAGGATTCTGCTTTGGCATCTTGTGTGGTCCTTCAGAGTCGGGTCTGAAGAGCTCTTGCAATTGTGCTAGAAAAGTTTAAAAAGCTACTGAGTGCCTCAGTTTAGACATGATGCCTATCATAGTGATGTGGAATAGTTACTCAGATTATATGACCTTCTTTGAGTTTGCATTAAGCTGCAAGAAGAGTTAACTCGCTACATGGTGAACTAACACACTGCTGCTAAAGGGAAGTGATTACTGTATGTAGTTGATCTAGCGTGACTATGATTATATGCACTTTTGCACCTATCCAGGGACAAAGTAAAGTGTTGCCAGACCAGAGTCAAGATTTTGCAGGTAAACAGAGTGCTTCCATTAATCCAGTTAATTATTTTTGTTTTCTCAGAGCTATCCAAAGCAATTGAGCTCTTAGCTTGCTTGGATGCAATGGCTGAGCAAGTGAAAATGTTTTGATAAGGATGCACGGGAGTAGAAACACCTAGGTGATGGTTTAATGATTTCCTGTTATCCTTTTACCCAGGATTCAACAGTGATATGTAAGAAGAGGTGCTTGCTTCCTGGAGAATGCAATATAAACCAAGACCACTGCTGCAAGGAATGCATCTCCTACATCGCTCCTGAAGAAATGAAAGTGTGCAAGTTTGGCAGTAAGATATTCCAGGTAAGTTTCAGGTGTGGCTCAAGAATAGATGCTGAAACAACACAGACTTACTGTAAGTTAGTGTTGTGACTTGCTTTTTAGCAGAATTCTCACCATCATTTTAGATGACGGAACAGCTCAGAGGCAAAGCACAGCAAAATTTGCCAGCTGGTATTTTTTTATTGGAGTCTCTGCAGATTCTGCTGATACGAAGCAATTAAGACTAGTTCCTCCTTGTTGCGATGTGTGTCTCTCCCAGCTTCTGTTTCAAGACAAGTAATGCATTTTTAGCATGAGTTTTTTATGTTCTGCTTTCCCAAGCAAATGCTGATATTTATGGATAAGATATTTTTGAGAGGTGTGTAGGCTTTATCTGCTGAGGCAGTCTCTTCCACAGCCGAGCAGTAGGAGCTGTGCAAAGTTCATCTTGACTGAAAGTTACTCATTGAAATTTCACAGCTCTGCTGAGGACAGCACCTCTGACATCTCAAGATTTGGATAGCCATATAATAACAGTTACCTACTGCGCTCTCACTCAATGTTTTCAAATCACAGGGGATACTCTGCAAAACACTGCTCATGTCACTGAGACCCTGTATGTTTTTCCAAGTGGTGCAGTTTTTTTTAACACTGTGTCAGAAAAAGGTTTTGTCACCTTATGGGCCATCTGTGAATTAAGAGCTCCTTGAATCAGATCAAATGTTAAATCCCATGTGAATATTTCTTTTGCTCAGCCAGAATTGCTTCCCATTTTTTCTGTCTTTTGTGTATGTAGCTGAAGTGTTTATTCTGGAAATTACATGTGAACCTACTGTACACTCAGACTATACTGGATCTGATTGGAACCTTCATACTGGTACTGTTGTGTTTTGAGAACAAGTGCCTGCTTCTTAGGCACCCAGATAAAACACTCTGCTTCTCGTGAAGATCTTATTATATTACTAAGCATCATATTGAATAAGAAAAAAATAGAGGCAATACATCTATTTCTTGCCCTGTGTAAGAAAAGATAAATCTGGTGTAGCTCAGTTGAAGTTAATGGCCTAACACTAGTAGAACGGGCACAGGTTCATTGGGAAACTGGGCAGTCAGAACTGTGTTCCCTCCTGTGCAAAAATGGTCGTGAAACAAAAATCACAGTAGCTGCGTTCAGTTGGTTGGGAAATATTCTGATACCGTAGGAGATGCTTGGAGAGTGGTCAATAGAAGTGCACCAGAATGCACGCTGCCTCAGAAACATGAGGCTATCTTAACATGGCAGGGACGTAGAGGATAGTGGAGAGACAGCCTTTAGCTGTGCATGTTGCACTGAGTAAGTTGGACCCCTTGGCACTTTGGATATCATCTATTTTTCTCTCTGGTCAGAACGTCATGTTGAGGTGGGCACATAATTGTTCACAGCTGTTTGGTTGGACTGCCTGTTCTCTGCTCCTGTCAGGTCTATCCTCACCCTTCCTTCACAGAGGTCCAGCAAACAGAAAACATGCACATTTTGGCTCTAAGCAGACTAGCACAAGACTGTAAGTGGGTGAGACAGAATGTTTTAGGAACCACACTTGGCAAATGAAGCACTATGGAGAAATGAGCCAGGGCAGTTCCACGAACAGTCTTTCCCAAGTAAGTGAGGACAAGGCCATATTTTGCTCTGCACCTAATACTTCAAGAGCTGTAGACTCTTACCTGCTATGCATTTGAGGAGCTCAGTCCTGTATCTCTTCTAAACATTTTCAGATGTTTAGCAGATCGAGTGTCTATGAAAGTGCTGTAAGTAATCTAAATTAGAATTCATTATTCAACCATTCCTGCCTTAAGCCAAACTGATGCTGCATCTGGGAATAAATTCACTATATGCTGACATCTTAATCAAATACTTTCACATGCAACAACTTAGACATCACTCAACCAAATGAATCAGGTTTTTTCTAATTATGTCAGTTTAAATGAAAATTTGTGGGAGGTGTGATCATATCTTAGGAACATACCGAAGAGAAAACAATGCAAATGATCAGGACACTGATGGAAAGCGCCAGTGTGATTTGATTAGCTTTGGAAAAATAAATGTTTGATCTGGAGGGCTGAAGGGAAGAACGCCCCTCTGAATTTGATCTTTGTCTTTAATACAACTGGATGTGGACAGATACCTCAAAATAATATAGACAAAACAATGACATAATGCCAACAGGGAAAGTTATCCCTTCTTGTGCAATGATACATTGCTGAAATAGCTTCCTGTTGCCACCCCAACTGATACTAGATCATGTTCCCTCTTGCAGGATGGAGAGATGTGGTCCTCTGTGAACTGCACCATCTGTGCTTGTGTGAAAGGCAAGACAGAGTGTCGCAAGAAGCAATGCATTCCAGTCAGCAGCTGTCCTCATGTGAGTTTTTTAAAAGAGCGTGGCTTTCTTCTCTGCTTTTCACCACCATTATGTTTGTCAGTGTTTCTTGGAAGTGTGTGCATAGCACTGGGGCATGTAGATTGGAAAGTAGACATTTTTTGGCATATTAATTTAGGCTGGTGTCTTCCAAGTGTGCTATTGCTACTCTGAATAAGAGCTTCTCGCCTCTGTCTTTGCTTTGCAGACTGTTCCTTTTTCTCCTCCTTACTTTGTCTCAAGTACCTGGAGTGCAACATCTCTTTCACTTACGTTAAGTAGCTTTGTAGAGTGGTGAGATGACTATATAAACATACATTTAGCTTGCAGATGTTAAGCGTCAAAAGCTTGTACTTCCTTTTCTTAGTGCATATGAGGCTTGAAACTTGGTAGGACAGGTAAATTAAATGAAATAAAAAAAAAATTCTATCAAACTGTGCCACAGTTTCAGCCTGAAAAACAATTATTTGAATGTCTGAAGTGAACCCAGAGTGTGGTGCAATTACGCCTTACTGAACTGCTTCAAAAATTAGTGTATGAAACCTTGAGGTAAAATCAGCTTTTGTTTCTTGGATTTCTGTCACTGACAAATTACTTTGTTTTAATGGCCCAAGCTTTCAGAAGAGGGAGCTCTAAATAGCACCTCATGTAAGGTCAGATCTTTGAACAGAGCTGCAGAAGTGAGAGCCAAGTGGTTAGCATTATACCTTCTCAGTGTTTCCCTCTCCATCCTGGAAGCCAGTCGGGAAAATATGAGTCACAGACACCTAGGTATAAAATTTTAAATGACAAACTTTAGTTTGTAAAATTTTATATGTGTGAACTTTTGACAGCCAGAAGCTGTGGTAGAATAAAATGCCTGTACCACAGTGCTCCTGTTTCTGCTGTGCCAGTGGTCTGCAGGAGTGATGTTTGTATCCTCAGAAGAGGGGACAGTCTTTTCCTGTCGCTCCGGTGCTCACAGCACAAGGTAGTTTTGTTAACAGGCCTCATATGAGATACTGCACACAGGAAATAGGAAAAAAGGAGCTCTTCTTCTGGGAGCCAGATAAGGCCCGTGGTGATCAGCCTTCCTTGCTTTTCACAGCATAAGCAGGAGGTGAGAGCTTGGACCCTTCTGGTCTCCTCAAATTCTTTGTTGTTGACCCTGGCATATACTGCATCTCATTTATATCTTCTCCATGCAAAATGCATTTCAAACATTCAAGATGTTTCTGAGATCAAATAACTAGTTTGATGCAATATAATTCTTAAGTGAAATAAACCACTTCAGCATTACCCTATATGAATTACAGCATTGCGATAATCAACTAAAGTGGCTTCTGTGAATGAATTCACTGTTCATGGAGAAGTTAGTGAAAACAGTACTGGCTAAAAATTCATCATCTGCAGTCCTGTGGGACCATAACTGACTGATGTACAAACTGACTGGTGTACCAACCAGCTGTTTCAAGGTTAATGCAAACCCCTTAACTGCACTAAACCTCTGATTTGATTCTTCAGACAAGGCTCAGCTCCTCAGGGCTGAAAAGATCAGATTATGTTATCCTGCAGAGCCCTTCCCTCTAGCATCTAACCAGTCACCCTATTCCCTCTTTTAAAATGGAGCCCATTCCAAGCTGCATGTGAAACCACCCTCCTCCACAGATACAAGCTATGTTTCTGCTCTTTCAATCTAAATTGGAAAGACAAGCAGGAGAGGGAATGTAAACTCTAGAGTGAGATTTATTTTCCTATTCCAAATGGATACCACCTCAAGTAATTTTAAGGCAAATAATGTATGCTAATGGATGTAAATCTTTCACTTTTCATCTGTGCTACGCTCTCTTTGATGAGATGTACTGTCAGAAATCTATAAACATTAATCAAACACACCATATTTTCAAGATAAAGATATTTTAGTGATTCTGATACTGAAAGTATGGGTATCGTGAACAGAGTTATGCCGCTGTCTCTGAAAACTGTAGGGATATGAACTCCTTTTTTTTTTTTCCTCTCTTCCCAATATTTCTGCTATTAAGCAGTCTCTATTGGCTGTTGAAGACTGCTGTGGAGTAAAATTGCACCTTAGGTTGTCAGTCTCCATACAGTTATCTCATTAAAGTTGCATTAGGATGCACACAACTAAGTGAAAGCATTGAAGATTCACAAAGCAGCTTATTGTTTCTTGACTTAAATGCTTTTTGTTTCTTTATTCCTTTGTTTTTGTGATGGAATATTATTTATCAACATAGATTTTAGTCAATTATTTCTTGAAAGGATAAGTTTCAAAGTGACATTTCAGCAGAAATTTCTAGTACTGTGCAACCTTTTGTATTATTCATTCTATTGGTGGCAGGCTGCCATATTTTAAGAGACTGTTTCTGCCATTCCTTTAATTTTCTTCATAGAACTAGGCACATTTTTTCATCCCTTTTATTCTTCTCTTTTTGAAATGTTTAATTCTGTATCAGTAATTACAGGTAGCTTTTTTCTTAGCTTCTTTTATCTGCAGCAGGGGCAATATATCTTTTCCAAATTCAATTGCTCCTGTCATAGCTATAGTAAAATCAGTCCTTCTTGGGCTTCTAGTGAGCCCTGTGGCTTGTGGTTCCTGTTTCTGGCTTTCTGGCAGTTGATTTTATGTTGATATTTCCTCTCAGTTACCTGGAGCATCAGCCTGCAAGGTGTGGTGCATGCTAGACCCCATTCAACACTGTTAAGCATGTGTCCAGTCTTGCTGAAGGTCCTCCATGGCTGCTTGAATACATGCTTAAATGCCATAGAGAAATGGAGTATAATCTCAACACTTGGCAAGTCTGAATTTCAGACATCCATTAGACCTTTTCTTACCTAATTTATTATTCACTTGCCTTAGCCCTGCTCCAGCCTCCTGCTTTCCTTGTGCCATCTTCCTTCTATTATCCATGATTATCTATTTCCTCCTTGCCTCTTTTCCTTATGCCTATGCATTCTCCACTAATAATGCTTGCTTGTGGAAATGGTCACTGGTCACAGATGTCTCTTTTTGTACTTCTGGAAGAGAGTCTGTTGCATTTTACAGCACACAACCTTTTCTGATGTCCAGAGCTCAAAAGTTAATAGAATTAAATTCATGGCATGTGAAGATATTTGCGGAGTTTGATTTTGAGGGTAAATTTTGAACCCATGAACTTGAAGAGAGTTGAAAATTTATTCAGAACATGTTCTCCCATCTTTAACGCAGACAGCATTTAATGTTATACACATCTGTTATTATTACAAACAAAAAGTTGCTGTTTTTACTCTAGTGCCAAATGAGGCACAAAAAAACAACAGCTGTTGCTATTGCATAACCAAACAACCCCCTCAATTAGTCCTGACTTAGAAAAAAACCCAAAACCTCAGACATAAAATTGAAAACCTCATAAAAAAGAAGAAAAATCCCAGAAAATAAATAGACTCAAATGTGGTCTGCTTATAAATATTCATAGGGAAAAATGGGATCACATCACTTAGCCCACTCCTAAGGGAACCCTCAATGCTAACGAACTCTTGCAGCACATGTTAGCAATAACGGGTTTCCTTATTCTACAAGACAAAAACAGGATCTCAGGCCAACATGGTGGCTCAAGTAACCAGCCTCAGCAGGCAGCCTTGGAGATTGCAATTTCACTTGAATTTTTGCCACTTCCAGCTTGGCTGATGATTTCAACTCTTTTATTGAAACAGAGGTAAGGCTACGGTGTGCAGCCCTGGCATTCAGCTGCACGTCTTCCTTTTGTACAAATAAATGCTGCCCAGCTCTGTACTTCTGTGCAGTTTTACTGGTTCTTTCTTAAAAGGATTTTGTGCTAGCAGGTGCTTGATAGGTCTTCTCATTGCAGCCTGGTCCTCAGTATTTTCTTTGCTCTGGGACCTGGTGGTCACACAGATGTCTAAGCATTGCCCACATGCCAGTGAAACTCAAATCCATTTCATTTCTCAAGACCAGACGTGCCTAAAATCCATTCTTTCCATGTGCAGTCGCACATTCAGCAACAAGCTTACGCTGAACTTTTATGCCCTAATGAAGACAATGAGCTCAAGCACGCTCATCACCTGGAGCTCATTTCTCCCCATGCACAGTGTCAAAGCTTGGCAGCGTTTTTTGGCAGAAAGCAATGTAGGTAGCAATATGGCTTGCATTCTAGGTCCACTTCCCCTGTCTCTGCATGGATCTGCCACCCCTTTCTTGTAAGCATTTCTCTACTGCTGAGTGTTTGGAGCAAACGATATTGCAGCTCCACTTTCTCCCTCTTACCTGCCACTCCTTGCTTGCCTGCTTGGTGGGGAACAGGACCAGTGGTCACACAAAGGGGACTCTCTATGTTCAACTACAGTTCTACTATTGGACTGAAGTGTTGGTGCCGGGGAACAGCACAACTCCATATGCCTCTTCCTTCCCCTTACGAGAATGTGGGTGAGCTCCAATATCACCATTAGTTCTGTTACAACCCCTGCCAGTTTTTGCTTGGAAAAACATATCATTCAGTCTGAAATTTTCCAGGCCTATCCTCTGACTTGATGGTAAGCTTTTGGGAATTTAAGTAAAATCAGAGAGAACATCTTTTAATTTGAGGATGACTGAAAAAGAGAATGAATTTATGTAAAAAGAAGCGTGATTCCTACTTCTAGCCAGCCTTGTATAAGACACAACTATAAATAAAACTGTCATGGGCAAAGCGGTGAGTAAATACTTGAGACTTGCATCCATGATCCTGTGATTAGACCAGATTTTTTATTTTCAGATGTTGCATGTCTTTGGATGTATGCCCATTTACTTCATCAGGCAACTTGGTCTGAGATTGGTAATATAATCTGGTAAGAGGTACCATGGGATTTAGCCATGAAAGAAATCTGGCCAAACTAGATATCAACTAGTGCCTCCTTCTTTCCTTCATTTCTATAGGAAAATGAATGATCTGGGGGCATGGGGGACTGTTGGGGTGTGGAGGGCTGCAGATTGCATAAGTGTCCATAAGTACATTAGGAAATATATGCTATGTGGTGATCTTGGTAACTAAATGATTAGTCTGCTTTTAGATATCTGTGAATACATGAGCCCAAAGTTCTTTCACACTCTCTAAAGAGAAAACTGGTAACAGAGAAGTCTTTTAGTATTACATTTCTAATAAGACTGCCAGGAAGCTTTTTGAATAGTTCTGTCTGTTTTTAGCACCTGATATTTGAAGCTGTAACCAGGGCATTGAGTTCAAACACAACTTAAACTATTTTCAAAAGCTTATCCAGCCTTACAAAATAACACAGTCATTGCTCCAAAAACTCTTTCATTAAATCAGCCTGTCTTTCTCCCAATTAGGGTAAAATCCTGAACAGAAAAGGATGCTGTCCTATTTGCACTGAAAGTAAGTTCTTTCTTCACATTTTTAAAATTCTTTTCTATTATTTGGAAGAAAATAAATATAGTAGAAATATGTTTGCTTTCTGCCTTCTTTTTATAGACCTTCTTTTTAAAGGGCAGGTGACTCTTTCTGGCTACAGTTTGTTTCCTATAGGTCTATGTATTTTAAAGAAAATGCCTGAGAAAAGGAATCTATTTCTTTTTTTTTTTCCCCCCAAGTGACACCATTTGTGCTAAATCTGAGGCATTGCTCTTTGAAGGACATACTTGGCCTGTGAAATTTGTAGGTAATTAAATAAGCGATGTATATAGAATTGTACTTTTTAGGACTGGGTGACTTTTATATCTGTAAATAACAACCCTGCTGTGCAAGAGAGGGGAAGCAGTCAAAGTGTATACACAATTCAATACTTTTGCATAACAGCAATGGAAAATGCAGTAGGAAGCTGTTCTTCTATCTGTGTGATGTTTAACTCAACCATCACCTTTTTATTCCTTTACTCTTCACTTCAGGAATGACCATCTTCCCATATCCCTTGCAATCTTTCCCAGCTAACAAATCCTGCTTGCACAAATATTTACCCTTAAGATTATCCTATTTAAATCAACATGGAGACCTGTCTTCACTGAAGTTATCAGGATACAATTATGTATTTCCTTCAGGATGTGCTTAAGTATTTTACCAAATAGGACCTGAATGTTAAAGTGGGGCTCTATGATTTAAGACCAGGTATTTTGAAAACAGAATGTTTCCTAAATTCAGATTGTTTTTACTGATCTACTCATTTCTGAATAGAACATAAGACAGACAAATTCTATAGACTTACTATTTTTTTCCACTCTGTTCATCAATTGCTTCTGAATATATAACTTGTAATAAAATAAATCTAGTTTTCTTCAGTATCAAAATGAAGTGAAATATAAATGTCAAACTCAAGAACGCTTGAAATAAAGAATACCAAGAAGGAGAAATGAAAGATTGAACTGAGTAGCAGCTGAATTTATGTATGCTCAGTTTCAAGGGTGAAGACATTTCCCTATCACTCTGCTCAAACATGACATGTTATTGGTGTCATGAATTTATTGATCGCTGTCTTGCGCGTCTGCTCTTACATTTCAGTCTCATTTAGCCTTTCTGTTGTGCTCTTTTGTAATATGAGCAGTTTGCTGTTAGAGGGAGGTAAATAGTGGGGCCATCCATTCCCTCGAAGTGCTGAAGGTCCTCTGTTATAAGCGGTTATGAAGAAGGCATTTCCTTCTAGCAGAAATCCTGCTAGAGAACGATGACTTGTGACAACTGTTCATGGGGGAAGCAAGCAAAAAATGTTTGTTTAAAGTAAAAATACCTCATATAGGAGCCAGATGACCTTAGACTCAGGACTTCTTGATGATATAAGAGAATGGTCATGACTTTAAGACGTGAAATTAAGGGGAGAGTATCAGCAGCCAGCAGAATATGTTACATTACATTCCTATTATGAATGAAGTGGCAGATGTTTGATCTTAGTTTAAAAGCAGTCTTTTTTTTTTTCTACAAACAAGTGTGCAGAGAAAATTCTAGGCAAACCATGGGAATTTGGACTCTGATTCAGCAGCCGTTAGAGCATCTCCCCCAATTCAAATGCATGGGTCCACTGTGTGAGGAAGCAGTAAACCTACCTGAAATCTGGAAAGTCTCTAGTACAAAGAAATTGACAAGTCCAGTTATTTTGTGAGTTTTTGACAGTTGAAGGTCTGCAGCCAGCCTCCTCCTTCAGCACCAGACTGAGACTATGATATTCAGTCAGGGGTTTCGAACTACCAGGAACGGAGATGCCACAACCTTTCTGGGTAGCCTTCTCCAAAGTTTGACCCATCTCATGGTAAAATTTTATTCTTTATATCAAGCCGGAATCTGCCTTATTCCAAATTCTGCCTCCTGTTTCTTGTCCTTCTGCTGTGCAGCTCCATTAAGAGCTTGACTCCATCTTCTACATGCAGGTACGGTCAGATTGCTCTTGGTTCTCCCAAAGCTTTCAGGCTAAACAACCCTGTTCTCTTAGCCTCTCCTTATGGGTCTACATTGCACTGGCTCTGTGTATGACTGGGAGGAGAACTAACTGTCCTGTAGTGGTATGTTCCTTTGTTGCACATGAAATGGATCCTTTTTTGGAGAGGTGTCTCGCTGTGGGTACATTTAGCATTTGGAGGAGGACTGATGCTGATCTGATTCTAAGGCTTTATGATTAAAAGTAATTCCAAGCTTTTATTAGTTGATGTAATCAAAGACTTTAAATACCTACTCTCGTACAGCACCAGTAGCCATTAGCATTCTAACAGCTGCCATTTGCAAGGAATTAGTTCCACCTTTGTGCCAGAAGTGCTGTAAATCTCATCATAGCATTTTGACAGGTAAAATCATAAGTGTTTCAGTGATGATCACAATCGCAGTCCAGTTGTTAGAAACGTTGCCAATTCAACCTATTCCTGATAAGATGCAGATGCATAGCCCTTTCCCTCACCCACCCACTCATACTGATCCTCTCTCCACATGTTAACACACCAGACATATTTGTTGGTCCAGAAGATATTAATTTTCCAAAGTAAAAACAACATAGGAGGTACGAGAACATACTGTACACAGGAGAGCTCTGAGTACAGTTCAAATGCAGCCAATTTCTATGAAGTGGGTCACAAACAGTCACGTTGTTAAAGGATCCATTTTAAACTGAAAAAATAAAAATTTAAAAAAAAAAAATCAAAGGATTATTTTTCAAAGCAGTTTGTTGCAGAGAGAAAAAGTACCTTGTCTCCTAACGGACTAGGGAGTCCCTTTTGTCTACTGTTGCTGAAGTTAACTGTGGTTGGTTTTGGCATGTTGCTGTTTAAGCTCCATGGCTGGTGTACAGTTATCACTAATTAAACACAGTGGTCATACCAGTGGAAAATTCAACAGTTTAGTTTATTCTGCTGTAAAAATGTAATGAAATGTACTCTTTTGGACTTGATTTAGAAAAATCACCACTGACGTCAATTCCATAAATTAGTAATCCTGTGTTAGAGCAAGGTCATTTTCATATTAAAAAAAGAAAACACTAAGCCTGAATTCAAATAATATTAACAGACTGCTCTCAGAGCAAGCTGGGAATTTGCAGTGGAGACTAAATCTTTGTTCTTGACATTGAAGAATTGATAGCCTTTGCTGAAATTACAGCATGCAGTAATCCTTCCTCCTGTGACGGTGCAGATATATTTTAATCATTATCAATACCTCTAACACAGTCATATTAAGTCGTTGTCAGGTCTTGTGGACAGAGATTTTTTCAAAGAGTACTGCAGTCATCTAGGTTTAGTAGGACTATAATTAATTTTGCAGTAAAGACCTTTTTTTTTTTTTTTTTGGTGGGGGGGGCAAAAACTTTTGTTCACCAATTCAGCATCTTTGTAAATTGACACACAGCACTGAGCCAAACTCAAGGCATTTGGATCCAGCCAACCAGCCTTAGGACTAAAAAGTTGGTACTTTCACCTGCTCCTCTATGCAGATCATTTTATTTGTATTTATAGAAATACTAAAAAATTGATGACTCTTCAAAACAACAGCAAAAGATTAAAAAAGAAAAAAAAAAATAATAGTGTTACGCTTTGTAGGTACCTATGAAAGCAGGAATCGGGATGAAAGGATCACAAAGAAGTCTGTTGGTCCTATTTTCTGTTATTTCCTTGCCACAGAGAAATACATCAGCAAAAAGACTGCAATTGCTTATTCATACTGGAATGCTGTTCATGACTTAGCTCCTCAGTCATTTCAGCTGTGATGGCCTACTGTATAAATATGTATTTGAACAAATTGGAATCGATATTTTATTTATGAAATAGACCATAAAGACTCCTGTGGAGTTTTTGACACCACACCTTGTAATGTGTATTATATCAAGCTGCACTATGCAACAGTTATGAGGAAAGTACTCTAAGGCTACGCATTTTTTAAAGAAAAGCTAATGAAATTCTATTATGTGTGTTCTGTAGCTAACTTTCAGAAGTTAATAATGTGTTCTGTTTGATTTAGGGCTTAATTCAGCATATGGGCTAATTGCATTCAAAGTTTCATTTCATTTTTAAAAAGCTGGGATCTTTTTTGAATTATAGATGTGCAACCAGAACACTCTTACACTGGTAAACTTCTATTTTTTCCTCCTTCTCCGCACTTAGAAAATGTCCAAAACAATTTTAGTTATAATTTAAAGTGTATTTTTCTTGGCCACTCTTAACTAGCTACAAGCCCAGAAGAGTGTGACCAGACATCTGGACATCTTGGACTTCAATTGACTGCTCTGATGTCCTGAAAAAATAAAACAAGCTATTCCATGAGCACCAGAGCTAACAGCCCGGTTTCCTATGGATTTGTGTCCCATTTCCTTTATACCCTAACAAATAATAAACCGAGCTAGAGACAATATATCCTGTGGCTGTTCTGGAGCTAAAAATGTGCTAATTGGCCAGCCAATATGCTCATGCTCTTTGGCCGGTCAGGATGTGTGTGCTGACTGTCTGTCTGGCCTCAACTAAACAGTCTATATATAATTCAGCCTTAAAGGCCATATACCACACTGGGGGTAGGGGCATTAGCCTGAAGGCACATAGGTACTTTTTGGCAACCTGTTATTCTTAACTTTACTCAGCATACTACTTACTTGAACTTGAGCATCCCTCTGTTAAATTTGTTTTAAATTGGCCAAAACCGGTTGTGATTTCATTAACTTTCTTTCCTCCTTAAGAGAGTATGTTAAACCTAAAATGTTCTTTTCCCTGCTGTTTCTTTTTCAGCTTCTTTTTTTTTTTTTGTACAGATAAATGTTTTTTCAAACCCTGTGCTCCTTGCCTACAATGACCTTCCCAGTTAGTTACCTTTCCTAATGAAAGTCAGTATTTCATTTGAGTTGGGTGCATGATTTGTAACATGCAAGGAGAGCTGGCCAAGAGTTCCACAATATTCGCTTTAGCACCTAAATGCTATTATTATGA